AATTAACAACGGCCAAATGCATTCCATTTCGGGCCATGCCCCATGTCCACGCCCACTGCCACTCCCTATTGCGCAGCATTTGCTCTTCATTTTTGCTTTTGTTTTTCATTTAATTAATATTCATCAAACAACTTAACTTAAGCAACTGGCAAATAACTACAACAAAAACAATGACAACAGAGCAGCTGCAACGGAAATGCGCTAAAATATGGAAAGAAAGCTGAAGTGGGAAAGCAGACTTTGAAATACACTGTACACATTCGCGTGTGAAATAGAGCAAACGATAAAACTATTCAATACTAGTCATGAAAGAAAGAACACATCGAATAGATTAAGATAGATATTAGGCATAACTTGAAATTCTAATTTTCAAATCGAAAGCTTCTTATAAAAGCTTAATAATATAATGTGAAGAAAAATATCTGATATACTTATTTCACTGATAACACTATAATAATGTTAGTTTGTAATTTTTAATAGATAGTTTGGCAAATCCCTATTAAAGACATATTAAATATAACATTTCAGTAAGCGATAAAACTATTGAACACTAGTCTTGAATGGAAGAAAACATCAAAAAGAATGACAAGGCAAGAGGGACTATTAATCTGGTAAGATAAGTATTAGATACATATAACTGAGCATTAATCTTCAAATTCTTATTTTAAAATAAAAATCTTCTTATAACAGCTAAATGGTATAAAGTGCAGAAAAACATCTGATTTACATATTTCACTGATAATACTATAATAATGTTAGTTTATTATGTTTAATAGATAATCACGATCAATGACGTATGAAATATAACATTTCAGTACATGATAAAACCATCATATACTAGTCATGGAAAGGAAAGGAAGAAAATATCAAGAAGACTAACAAGAGAAGAGTAGTCATTAATCTGATAAGATAATTGTTAGACACAGCTGATCATTAATCTTGAAATTCTAATTTCAAAATATAGCGCAATCTGATCATATTATTTAAAATAAGGCTTCTAATAACTAAATTAGATTGGTTTATAATTTCTAATAGATAGTTTGTCAAATCACGTTTAATGCTTATAAATTCTTAAAATATCAATGAAAATCGTTTCTGATCGATAATTCAAATCTGTCATTAAATTTTCCAGAGTTTTAAGGGACGATAAAAAAAATGATAAAGTAAAAGACAAGACTGGTCGAACTGGCAAGTTCGGGAATGTTATTAAAAATGCAAAAACGATTCACATCAATACATGCAAGTACATACATTCTATGAAGTCTAGCACACCCTTCTTTGACGATTTGAGGGTATCAAAACGTCCATCTGAATATTGCACTCATTGTAATGCCAATGGGCGTTGCAGAACACTTGAAACTTACCCACTCTGCCAGCACTGACGAGCACTGGACTCTTGTGCCAATCTCGGACTTCCGCTCAATAGCGTGGGCAAAATTGACGAAGCTAAGGCCAAAACGAAATAAACATTGACAGCACAAAAAAAAAAAAAAAAAAACACGAAAGGGAACAAAAAACATGAACACGAAAACGCAACGTTCAAGGAAGTAATTATGGTTTATGCAAAGCTACACAGATAGAGGCAAAGAAAATAGGAATAACAAAAACAACGGCAGCAAGAAAAAAAAAACAAGAGCATCAAGTAAATGTGGGGCAAGAAAAAAAAAACAAGTTAAAGACGATGAAGAAAAAAAAAGTAGCAGAAGCCGCCGCCATAACATCAAACTTCAACTTTCGCAGGCTGGCAGGCAACTTTGAGTAAATGAGAAAAACTAAATTAAAAAATGCGAGTGAGCGCGCAAAGGATAAGGGACAGGACAAGTCAGGGCAGAGCCGAGCCGAGGCGAGTCGAGCCGCAGAGGGCAGAAGGCACATTGCAATAAGGAAAATGTAAAAGGCAGCAACAGCGAGGCAGCGAGACAGCGACAGAGACGAATGAATCGAGGCAGTCAAACAGTTAAATGGGAAGGGGGAGCAGGTGGCTGAGGGCCGCGAACGGCTATCCAGACAACATAATTGTCTTTTGGAGTCGTTTTAACTTGCGCTAACAAACAGTAACAACAACATTAACAACAGCAGTGACTGTCGACTCAGCGACACACAACAAAACAAAGTGCATGAATATCGAGCGCCAGAGAGAAATAGAAAAGCGGAAAAATTATAAACCAACTGCAGTGGTCGGTCGTCGCTGACGTCTCTGCTGACGCAAGCGCCAGAAAACTTGCCGCCGACCGCCATTTTTTTTATTTTCCTTGCCGCACTGAAAATGACATGATGAAAAATAAATAAACAAATAAAGTCTGTAATGGCAACTGCACAGCTTCCCAGCTTACCAGCCTGCCTTCCTCTTCTATCCCGACATCCTCCCGTTCTTATTACCCTTCGCCCCTACATAGTTCATAGTTGCCACTCAGTCCACTTGCCATCTGTTTATCCTCCATTTATCGTTTGGGGCATGCGGCAGTGCAATTTCTTGTAGCTCACAACTACAATTCTATTTGTTTTGTTGTTGCTTTTATTTTTCGTATTGCGAGCAATTCGCTCGCCTTGATTCGCAATCTCGAGCCAAGATGGGCATCAAGCATCCGCAGCAACTCGAGCTTGCAACAACTCGAGGTGGCAGCAACTTTGTGCGCGGCACGAAGTTGTGCACAAATAATAAATTGTGTGTTGCAGGCAGCTAGCTACAACATTTTCACAGTAGTCACGCAAAATTGATGGGGAATTGATTTGAAAGCAAACACAATACATAAATAGAACAACGGACAGACCGACTGACTAGCTGACTAGCTGACTGCATGACTCACTGACTGACTGATGGATAGACATGCTATCAAGCAGGTAGCAGGTAGCACGCACATTAATCTACTGGGAGCCCAAAATGAGAAATTGCTGTGGAATGTTCTTGCGAATGCGCTTGTTATGTCGTTAGAAGTTGACTTTGAGTTGTTATCTCATACTATATAGTATACGAGCATATGCAATAGTATTGTGTTCAACATTTGTTTCCAAGTCACACCACAAATTGCCAAATATTTCAATTTATTGGCAAAACATTTGGCCAAGAAAAAACAAACACAAAGCTGTTTGGTAAGTTATCAGTATTTGCATCGTCGATGCCATTTAGAAGTCCCTGCCAATGTAGATGAACCTTAAACATATTTAAAATGTAGATGAAATGCTTTAATTGACTTTACTTAATTGCAGCTCAAAAGAAAGTGAAGCAATTAAGCAAGAATGAATCACTAGTTGGCCATTACAGATAAGCGAGCATAGTCGTAGAATGGACGACCAAAGAGGGTTTCTGAGAGATTAAATGTGTAATCTTTAATCAAATTTAAATTTGTAATTAATTGGAATCATATGCGAGACATCCATAAATTAAAATACATTTAGCCCTCCTTTAACCAAACTCTTTGAACGTTAACTCAGTCTAACACTACTTGTATTATAAATTTGCGCCCTTTCCTCTTTTAACTCGTTCTTACACGATTGAAATTTAATAAAAAAAATAAGCGTATTATTTTAACTCACTTTTGCTGTTGGAATACGTCCCAGGTCATGGAATTTATTTTAGATAAATCTGAATGTTATATTAAAAGTTCGCACTTTCAAAACCTACTACTACGATAATATCAGATGCGAGTATACTCAGGATTTTGGATACAACTGAAACTGACTCGATGTAATTAGTTCTGGAAATAAATTTCCTATTGCCTTGAATTGTTTATTTTATTTCTAAAAGAGCTTATGAATGCAACATTGGATATTGAAAGAAATTATGACCAATGGTTGTTTAAAACCACAAAACAACAATTGTCACAATGTGAAATTTGTTAATTTGATTCGTCTTCGAATTATGTCTATAAATATCGATGATGGTCAAGCGTTGTTTGAAGACAAAGGCATGGATAACAAAATATTATTTGAAATTGCTCTGCATGGTTAAACCAATTTAAAATCAGATGACAGCAACTCTGAAGAAACTTAGCCTCGCTTTCCATAGAAAACGTATGCTAGCAGCATGGAAAGACTATTCCAGTTGATAAGAGCGTTGGAAGTAAAACTTGTATATACTTCTATAAGGTGTGCTACAAATATTCGTTGAGAGCCAATACAAAAAATATTTTCCTTTTTTAATAAGATTAATTTTTTTCATGATAAATATTCAACATTCGGAGTAACTTTTTGTAAATTTTGAAAATGTTTGTAACTTAAAAACAACGACAATTTACCACACCTTTTTTTTTAGGTATTTGTCGAAATCTAGGAACGTATATATTTGGAAGAAGAATTTTGTGAATTTTTAAAATGTTTATAACTTAAGAACAACGAAAATTTAAACAACTAACTCTTCCTTTGGGCTTTTGTTGAAATCTAGGAACGAATATCTTGGGAAGAAGACAACTCAAGCATTTGAAAGTATTGCCATTAAATATGCAAACAGCTCGTGATCATATCTTTCTACCGAAAGAGCATCAATAACCACTAATATAAAGAATCATCTCTTTCTTGCAACTATTTGGTTACAAATATTTGTATTCTCATTTACTGTTGTGTAGACCTTTATGTGGCCTTCTTCTAGATGCATTCCTCATCGCCGATTGGAATAAATAAATCAAAGCTAAAGGTACTGAGTTTACTTTTTCGAAATAATCTGAATGTCAAACACGTACTATCTAATCGAATGAGCTATCGCTTGAAGGGAGTCAAAAGGGTATGGGAAAAATGCATGCCCTTAGCATATTTATGTAAATCGAGATGTCTTGAGTCTTCTACTTGTAATGCATCCACCGTGCTATCATCAGAGTCTATAAAAAATTGTGCATGCATAACAAATTCTCTCGCAGAGCTCAACATTTAAAGTTCAATTGAAGTTCTGTTCCGTTCTGTTCTTCCACTTCAATGGTGTAGAAGCCGCACACTTTGGCCACAAAACATGCCACACTTAGCATGACCGTAACGTATATTTTCGCACACTTAAATCCATTAGCACTTACCGATTCAATGGCCTTCTCCAAGCGGAAAATCTCCTCCTGTAGCAGATGCAATGTGCCCGTTTTGCCGCGATGACGTGCGAAGGCAGCGGCACAGGCGCTATGTATGCTGTTCACCCAATTCTCGAGCTCCACCTGTATAATAGAGGGAAGAGAGGAGGGGAGGGGAAACATTGTTACGAATTGCAGACCAATATGCACCGCAAGCAATTTGATGCTCCCAAGCGCCAAACGTCGAATTCGGTTGACTATCAGTTATGCAAATTTAATGACAAATCAGTGAGGCAACCAGCAACGAGCAGCCAGCAGCCAGCTACCAGCAATCAAGCGGCCAGGCGGTTTGGCAGTCAGCCAGTCAGCCAGCCAGTCAGTCAGTCAGTCAGTCAGTCAAACAGTCTGTCAAACAGCCAGGCAGCTGGCAATGTCGAGAATGAGCAACGTATGCCTTTGAGACATGTAACAGTTTAGGCACAAGGACTTTGCAGCTGTTCAAGGCAACCTGCCAGTTGGCAGGCCGGTTGGCAGGTTTTCAGTCCAACCTCAATCACACTTTAAGCCTTGCGATTTGCATTTGAGCCTTTTGCGGGCTACGTCAGTTAACGCCTTAGAGTTTGTGCGTTTGTTTATCTCTATGTGTATTTGTGTGTGTGTGTGTGTGGCACACATTTTACATTAAAGTCCGTCGAAAGCCCGCGAGCGCTGAACTCGACACCAAATCAGAGAGAGAGAGAGAGGCAAAGGCAATAGCAGAGACATACGCATAAGCGTGTATCCTTCATCGCCCAAGTTGTGCAAACAATTTTCTCTATACAGCTTCTGGCTGCCATATGTATGTATATACTATATGTATGTATGTATATTTTGCTACTGATGCTGTTGCTGATGCTGTTGTTGATGCTGATGTTGTGCCTAAGTCTGTGGTGCCGAGGCAAGGCCAACTTTTATAGTTTCCTCAACTTGGCTCGCCTCAGCTGAGCTCGACTCGTGCGTCTCCCTTTCTAATTGCAACATGAAAGTCTTACGGTTGAAGGACTTCATGTATATTGACTAGTACGTCGCCTGCATATCCTGCGGCGCATCCCAAACACCGACCATGCGTTGGCGACACTTTGACTCTCCTCACCTGACGGGGCGCTTGAAAGACTTGTTCTTTGACACTCACCTGACAGGGCGCTTGAAATAGATAGGCGTCTCCGAATGCTGTGCTCAAGCAGAATATATAATCGCGCTTCGGATGCTCCGGTATCGGCTGCATAATTGCACCGTCCACAATGATTAGATGCTTGGGCGCGGCCTCAGCACTTCGCCCCTCCCGCGAATCGCACGGATAGAACAGGAGCGTGGTGCCCTTCAGGCACACCCAATAGCCCTTCCAGCCACGTTTGCGCGCCAATTCGATTTGATGTTTTTTGCGTAGTAACCATTTCTTTACCGATAGAAAACTGTAAAGTGAAGGAGTGACAAAAAAAAAAGAAAGAAACGGTTTGAAAAAGGGGTTCAAACAATACCGGCTAATTAACGAAGAGTATATGCTGCGTATAATTTATGGGGAAAAGGCAACTACAACAACACTTTCTTTTACAAGTTCTTTTTTTCGAGCTTTCCCTAATTGATTGACGTAAGCAACGTTTTGATTTTTAAATGAAAAGAAAAAGATGTTTGGTGAACTTTCCTTTTTAAATTATGGTTGATTACTTAATGGCACCTGGCCAAATAATTACCTATGCAAACTTATATAATTTATACTTTTAAATAGGACTCACGATTTTGGGTTAATAAATAAAACGTGCTTAAGGAAAATTCATGGGAACGAGCAAATGACAGCTAGCTTAAGAGGTTAAGAAATTATTCTCTTTTGAAAACAAAATTAATTTTAGAAACTAAAAGTAAGTTAAACCGTTTTCACTGCTGTCAACCCGATTGGATAATATTTTAAATATACAATTATTTAATCCGATGAGCCGACACTACTTTTAACAATAGACCGTAACTTTACTTTTGTATTTAAAAGAGCTTGCGACAATTTTCTTTTGATCTATACCTTTTTTATTATTTCTTGTACCTGTTTGTTTTCTTCTTCTCAATCTCATCTCTCTAATCTCTGCCCTCTAACCGATTAAATAATGATTTAAATATACTGTATTTTAAACATTATTACTCTAAGCCATAGACTAAAACATTACTTTTATATTTTAAAGAATTTATAATTTTTTGGTCCAGTACTTTCATTATTATTTTTTGTATGTAGTCGTTTTTTTTCAATCTAATCTCTCTTATCACTGCCCTCTAACTGATTGGATAGTAATTGAAATACACTATATTTTAGTCAGAAGAACCGACACCACTCAAAACGACCATAACTTTACTTTTTTATTTGAAAGAATTTTATAATTTTTGAGTCAATTTTCTTTTGTTCAACCCCCCCTATTATTTCTTGTACCTATTTGTTTTTTCTTCTCAATCTAATCTCAATTGATAACTAGATGGGCTATTTTAATATAGAAAATCTAAGCTCATGGAGACAAGCTGCTTAGCACTTAAAAACCTGGTACGATTATGTCAGTTAATCAGCGTAAATATTGAAATGGGAATAACTTTCTTGGCAATCTCAGAGGAGACCCAAAATAATCTCTTTTTTCTTTCACTTTTTTATGGACGTCTGTGGTCACACTATCGTACTCGTCCTCTCCACCAATTATCGCGCATTGCATAAATCTCTCGCCTGCTCTGTTTATTACTTGTGTGTGACGGAGAAAGGCAGGGGGAGAGTGCGATTCCAAGGCGCGTTGTTATTTATGATGACTTGTTGGACGTGCACGTTCCAACCAGCACGCCCTGGGGATTGTCCACGACACGGTCGGTCGGCTGTTCTCAAGCACGGCTTTCATACTCGTATGCGAGCATAAAGCTGCCGTGTTATATTTTAATCACATTTTTCATGGCCCAGTCGCCGTACTCACCCAGCTTTGCGCACAGCGCCCGTGCAATTGAAGGAGGATGCAGCCGTGCCCGTGGCCTTTGCTTTATATGGTGAAGCCATGACACTTTCGCCATCATCTTCATCCGAAACGGCAGTAGTTAGGCTCATTCGATCATCGTCCGAAATCTGTGGGGAGTTGTAGGGCGAAATGCATAAATTAATCATATTTTTCGCAATCAGAATCGGATGCAAACATGTACAATACAAGTAGGAGAGAATGAAGGCGATGATGGGGGATACAATCATCAAGGATTTCATCACTAATGAACGACTGAAGGGCTGCAGACAAACTGAATTGAAACATCACTTCCGAGACGACACGTACGTTTGTATACATATGTATATATATATATATATATATATATATATATATATATATATATATATATATATATATATATATATATATCTATATTTATACGTGTGTGAACGTCCACCAGCGACGATTAAATTTAATAACTCTGGGAAAAATAATTGAAATAATTAAGTCATAATTAGCAATGCCAGTCAGTGGCGGAGCATGTGGAATTGGGTCGCAGAGTCAGAGCGGGTCGGGCCATTTGAAACCAATAATGACTGCCTGAACAGTAAATGCTGTCTGCCACGATTTGTTGTTGTTGTTGTTGTTGTTGTTGTTGTCACACTGCCAACAGCAACATTTGTTACGTATGTCGTCGATAAAGCAATTTGTCTTCTCTTGCCTGCATTTTTAGTGAAGCTGACTACGGGGGCGACAATCGACGAGCGACGAGCGACGACCGAAGGACGGGCAACAATTGACAAAAAGAGGAAGACGAGAAAGAAGAAGAGCAAAGAGCATACAACGGCAGCAGCAACAACAATAATAAAAAGGGCAAGCAAAACTGTAACTTGGCCATGTTATTTCATCAGAAGCCTGCCAGGTCGGACCCGTCCGCCCTGCCGCCGTGCCGCCCCACCTCCTACTTCCTTCCGTTCTCGCACCCCGTGCGCCAATTTCGCTTTCGCAACAGGAAGATAGACAGGGCGCTTCGACATCGGTCCGGGCTCCACTGGTCCTTGTGGGATTCAAGCGAACGAGCCAACGGGCCAACGAGTCAACCAAGCGACCGAGCGACCGAACCACCGAGCAATGAGCGGGCGAGGCGCTACGTGTCCCACGTGGCAATAAAAATTGGTTTGCCCATTCATTCGTTTCAATCGCCAGCACCCAAACCAAGGATCCAACGAACCACCCACCACCCAGCACCACCCACCTCGCACTGATGTCGCTCACTTGCTTTTTATGCCATTTTTATTTGAGTTCCCAAGGAAATCAATTTACAATGTGTTTATTCGTTTCGTCTTCTCTTTTTTTTCCCATCCTCATCCGACCAGATGGGCCGACACATACGTCAACATGGAACTGGATTTGGGTGTGTATATATTTGTTTGAGTGTGTGTGTAAGTGTGTGGGTGTGTGTGTGGGTGTGTGTGTGGGTGTGTGTGTCTCGCCAAATACATTACCCACTGCCGTGCCTCCTTTGGCAATTTTCAAACATTTTTGCTCATATGCATGTTTTACAAGTTATTTATTTGTATGCCCGAGTATGTCGACGCCTCAACCTGTGACCCGCTCCCTTTCCATTCCCCTACTGGCATCAACATTTGTGTTTGCATAGCCCCCCTCTCCTCCTCCCCCCTCCCCCACTATCCACAATTCCCCCTCTAGTGTTCACCCGCTGAGCAGCCGTCTTTTCACAGCCAGATACTGTGTTATACCCACAAGAACGACGAACGTCGTCGTCGTCGTCGTCGTCATCATCTCCTCGACTTTGTCGTCCTCGTCGCGGCCGCTTCCCAAAAAGGCAGCTCAGGCCAAGTTTAATCAAATTTTATATTAATCGAAGGAGTGCACGGGCATGCAAATACGTGTGCAATCGCATAGGTGAGGGCGTTGTGCGGGTGGACAGCAAACTCATGGGTTCTGAGAAAGGCACGTAAATATTTTGGCATTCGAAATTGGCAAGAACAGAACAGAACAGAACGCAGATCAAAGCGGTTAAAGCGGCACCTTTGGGGCACTGACATCCTCGCCAATTGAGTAGCTGCATCAATTTATTTTCCAAGTCTGTCTGCCTGCCTGCCAGCCTTTAAATAGCCAGAGATGTTGTGCTCATTAAAGGCCAGACTTGAACTTTGGGAATATACGAGTATACTTCAAAAACCAGTTGGGACCCAACCATTTATGGCGCACTCGGCAACGCACAATGAAATTGTTTCCGCTTGTACAAGGAAGTTTTCTATGAAATCATCAAGTTGTGTCAAGCGGATGTTCGCAAAAGCGGAACAGTTGTACAAACCGCTGGCGAAGTGTGCCCAAGCAATGCTAGGAATTGCTCATAGGTTTTAACATGGGTTGACAGTATGGCTATTGCTGTTGTTGATGTTGTTGTTGTTGTTGTTTTGTGGCATGTCTGTTGCTGTCGTAGACATGACTTTATAGGTAGGTGGTAGGCGGCAACCGACAATTTGGGGGCAGGATTCAAAGTGCGAAATTCTTCAAATAACTCAGAGACAATCGTTGCAGCATGAGGCAACCCAAGATACAATAGAGTGTGGCATCCAGCTCGATGAAAGGTGAATCAATTTTGAATGTACCAATTTACTGGTGAACTGAAAGAGCAATTGATTGCAATTGCGGTGAGAAATATTACAACGGATTGTCTCACTAAAACACTGTTCATTGCAATAAGTAATCAGCAAAGTTTCATGTAATAATTGAAGAGGACTCTGAACAAGATTACTGAAACAACAGTTGAGCTTTTCATCAGGAAATTAATTGTTTTAAAAATAATGTTTAATCATGATACACGCACTTGTGCAATCCAATTAAGTTGTGTCTGTCTGATAATGTTGACTGCGTTTAATCATAAACATATTATATGCTTTCATATTAAATGAAAGCCCTACATAAAACCGACCGCTCTCATGAAAGCTATATATAAAATATATGATATAATAATATAACCAGCAAGCCGATCGGCTCTGCAATTGTTCATTTATTTATTATAAAGGGTTTAAATAAATCTCATAAAAACTATAAATAAAATATACTTATCATTTGACATTCGTTTGCAAAGCCTATAAAAAGTGGTTTTTAAAGCTTTAGACAAGCAACAAGGCCAGAGTGCAGAAAAACCTTCGCTTTTAAAGAGCAGACCATTTATAACTATTAAATAATTTTCTGCATCATAAACTTCATGAAATGAATATATTTTATGATTATATATTGATTGATAATTTATTTTGTCTAGCTGCGAAAAGCAATACCTTGAGTAGAATTTCAATAAATCAATCGACTCTTGTATGGACTTGGCTAAAAGCATTTCACTTCATGCGCCCTATCTTCATCTACGAGTATTTGTAACCACTTTTGGCTCTCGCTACTCGATTTCTTAGCAATAACATAAATTTTGCTCAGTCAGCTCGCAGTGTCAGCAAAAAAAGAGAAACAGCAAAGGGGAAGCTTAGTCGAGTCAATGTAATGGAAAAACACCCATTTACAATATGACGCTAAAAGGACAAATTTTTGGGATTTCTAGCTGCACCTTTTTTGACAACAGATACTCTTGTAGCTCTAGCTATATCTGTGACTTGTGTGTTGCGATAGAAACAACAACAACAACAACAGCAGATGAACAGCAAACATTTTTGACTGGGACGGATGAAACGTTTTGGGGCACAGTTTGCCAAATGATTCATGAATTTTTAATTGATGTGCCCCGGGACAGATGCAGAAATGGTTGTCAAATTCCATCAACTGTCTAACAATGAGGCATCATAGACACATGCACATACATTGTGTGTGCGTGTGTATGTGTGTGCGTGTGTATGCGTGTGTGTGTATAGTCATGAGCATACATGTGGGTAAGCCAAAATGGGCACCTCGAATCACGCACACCTAAACACAAATCACACAAAAGATTAAATGCCTGCCTGGTCGACTGCGATTGCGTATGCTTGTGTGTGCGTGTGTGTGTTTGGACCCACCTGATTACTTTGGCCTAATACGCCATATCTCAGCATCAGTGCAAAATCAAAATTCAATTTACGCACAGACGAGCACACACACACAAGCGCACACACACATACACACGCTCAGCCTCACAAAATGTATGCGTATTTAACAGCCACTACATGTTGTTGCTCCTCTCATTCAACAGACGCCAATCGAGGGTAGCAATTCCTCACCAAAATCCCCAACCCTCTATACACACACACACACACGCACACGCACACACCTGTGCAGATGCCTCAGCAATTGCCACGACTGCCACGTTGAGTCTCTTTCATCGCTTTACTGCGATTTCTAATCAAGAATTGATTGTGATCCCTTGATGCGGCTGTCGTTCACGTTTCTCCCATAATTATCAATGACTTTTGAATGTCAAATGTAAGCGCTGACGTTGCTCCTAACTGACATTGGCACCTATTCCCCTATATCCCAAAAAAATATTTGTATATATGTGCGTGCATTTGTCTGGCTGTGAGCCTGACTGTGAGTCTGCCTGTTAAATCTTTTCATTTGTCGTTGTCAAAAATTACAATATTTATTTGATAGAGTCCTCGTCTCGTTCTAGCTTAGGCCGGGTCGGCGCCATCCTCTACGCTTAGTTAACTTAAACGTACGCCTGCGATTAAGTGAGGCATTAAAAAAGTTACCCCAAAGTGTTTAAGCACACTTAAAAGCTGTAAGTAAAGGAAATTGATTCGAAATGGAATGCGAGCGCTGGTTGGGGCTACAGGGGGGTGGGGGGATAGCATACTTGTGCAAGATTTGTAGCGCGTGACGCGACGCATTGCAGCAACAGACAGGACACGCACACACACACACACACACACACACACAAGCACACATATAGACACTTTCATACACGCATCTGCCATACAGTCGCACTTACAAGTGCTTCTTCGCAAATGGCTTCTTCACTTCTTTTTATTTTCTTTTTTTGCTGCTGCTGCTTTGCCTTCGGCATGGGAGCTTGGATTAAGATTAAGTCTTCTCATCTCAATGTTGTAGTTGTAGGAGATGGAATGGCATGGCACGGCATGCCTTAGCTTACTTGTAAAGTTTTTTGCACAGACAAAAGTCAAATTGCTGTTAAACACAGGCACAACCTGCGAAAATCAATTTGGCATTATCTGTATGTTGCGAGAAGGGATTTTCTCTGATTACTTAAGACTCCAGACGTGGGTATCCTGAGTATCCCGAGTATGTGCAGCATGGCCTGTCATTCACTTTTCGATTAAACATGCTTGCCACCCAGCCAAGTGCCCGGCAGTAATTGGCTTACCTGCTTGACAATACTCCCAATATTGCTTGTGAGTTCAATAGCCACTATTGTAGTAGCGGAAATGGCAATGGGCTTATAATTTCTGACAGATGGTAAGTGTCTTGAATTTTAGTGCAGGCTCCAGCTGGACCTTGTAGAGCAATGAATAAACAAAGCAATCGACGAGGGACCAACGCACAGCTGACTAAGCTGGCTTAATAACATTCATTAAGTGACCGGGTGCTGTTAGTTGCTGCTTAAATGAATCTTAAACAGAGAAAATGAACTTTAATGGACTGACTGGCGATTTCAACAATCTTGTAGTTTTCGGAGAAAAGGAAAAACCAATCAATTAATTCTAAAATGGAATCGTACCAGTTCCAAATCAAATGGAAATACCTTATATCCACACAAACCCTGAGAAGAAAAACGAAGAAGAAGAGCGAACTTCATGCTGCAGTTTGTGGGCGTATTACTGGAATTTAATTTTTTCGCTAATAACGTTTCTTAGAATGGACCGATTTAGAAACAAAAGTAGAAAACTGTACTTAGACTATGTGTGCAAGGTTTTGTTTTTGTAGCTTTTGGAAATGTAAACAGTGTTGACAAAATTCTGTTGCATGGACAGTGGGAAGGGAGGAATTAAAAAATGAAATAAACTCGTGTTGCCTAGAGACTAGGAGGGTCTACACACCAAGTTTGGTTAATGTGCACTCAGCCGTTTCCGAAATCCAGGCGGACAGACGTACGAATATGTCTATATCAACTTCTCTCCTCATACTGATTAAGAGTACTTATATAGTACTTTATGGGGTCGAAAATGATTCCTTTTGCCTGTTATATATAAGTATTAAGTATTACACACGTTTTTTACCCTAGACGTACAGGGTATGAAAATAGAGCTTAGTATTTTATGGCGACTTTTAAAGGAGATAAATGTGTGAATCTCTATTTAATTTAAAATTATCTACCTACTTAGTCGATTTCCATTAGAATTTTAATCCCTATATCAATGGCTAAGAATTGATTTTGTTTGTATTGGTTATCAATGCTTTGTTTCACTGCTATTTGGAGCTTCCATTGTATGTACAGGCTTAAATAATTTCGAGTAATTCATACTGAATTTTCTTTTTTATTCCCTTTATACAAATGCCTTAGCTGTAATCACAATTTGTTCATACATCGTCGATATATTTAAGCTGATGTTAGGACTGATTACTTATACGAGTAAATGTATTTTCTATTTAGGTACACGATTGTATAAAGAGAAGGATGTGTTTGAAACGCTGCGTGAATCCTTTTGCCCTACAATGGCTGTCTAGCCAATGACCAGCGATTTGTCAGGGTCTGGGACTTGGCTTGCCTCCATCATTTAACGTAAATGTGACAAAAGCTGTGCTTTGTATGCACGTTCCCATAAGCCTTTAAGCTCCTTTGACCTATTTAATGTAAACGGCATTACAAAGGAAATTATCCCAGAAGCAGCCAGTGGAAGCAACTGCCACTGTCTGTCTATTTATCTGTCAGTTTATACGTCCATCTGTCTATTCGCCCAGCTGGCCAATTTTCGTGCATATTGAGAAAGATATTCTGTTGGCAAATCTACTACGATTTTTCTATTAATTAATATGCAATACACTTCTAGCTGCCAACTAATGCCGCCATTCAAACACACTCATTTGATTGTGTTTATCTGTGTCTGTGGGTCTGTGCGTCTGTGTGCGTGTGCGAGCAAAGCTTCCTTTATGCGTAACTTAAAACTGATTTGAATGCAATCGATGTAAAGCCTCGACTGTGTATCCTGCATGGAAATTTTAATTTTACCTTTGGCTATGTTTTATTTTTAGCAATGGCTTTTCTATTAGTTAGTTCGAAATGAATGCAACTAAGCAAACAATTCAACAGACCGCACTTATACATATCCATGTATCTAGAAACAAGCACAAACACGACGACTACATGCATTGAAGTGGTGTTGCCTCATTGAAATGCGGCCACTTTTTGTATTCAAGCAAAAAGCCGAACACTCATATATTATGCCACACACATACTATACTGCCCGTATACTCGTATGTATATTCGCGCCCACATTGCAGTCACAGTCGAAATCACCGGCGGAATCACAGTCAGACCCAGAGCCACACTCCCAGCCACACTCAAACACGCGCAGACAAATAGCCTTTATCACTTTGAAACTTTGATTCATGCGAGTTCCAATCAATGCCATTCATTACCGAAACTAAATAGTAAATGAAAATGCTCTTGTCGCCTGTACATCTTCCCTACCTTCCTGCCATCCTTCCATCCTCCCTTTGGCAGAGCTCCTCTCCTATGATGGTGTGTAGTCGTATTGTGAAGCTGAGAGCTTTTCGGGGCTAATGCTTTAATTTATTGCCATTTTGTGGTGCGACGACCAGGCCATGAAGTACTACTACCGCGTGCTGAGGGGTTAGCCGAGCGTGAAAAGGATGTTTTAGCTTTAGCTTTGATCACTGTTGTGTTAGACAACCGAAAATGAATTTGTACCGTTTTGTACCAGGCACCACACCATATTGAATGCGAAGAGGGAGCGACAACGATACATTTAACTCATTTCCCCTGTCAAGGAAATCGAAATGGTCGGAGTAGGAGTAGAGAAGCTTGTCGTTGACTTTTTGTCACGCGATTTTTTCTCATTTCCGGACGCCCGCCCGCCCGTCGAGCTACAGTTCAAAGCCTATTCACTAATTTCGTTTAATTTCTGCACAAGCATTAAAATAGCTCATACGCAATCACAAAGCCATACGAGTAGAAAATAACATTACACATCTAATCCACATCTAATCGCATATAGACATTTATCAGAGTGTGTAAATCTATTAAGGGCTACGAGTATAATGAGATCAAAAGTAAAATAGAAATAAAATGGTTGCATTGGAATGATTTAATTAGAGTTAAATTTGTTTAAGATTAGTAAGGAGACCCTTTATAAATATTCATCAACGATTGTTGGGAAAGGTTATCGCATTCGGTTATCGAGTTATAGCTAGAAAACCAGATAGAAAATGGCAAGGAAAACAATTATAAGTAGCTTGGGAAAGTGTAGAAAATCCGCCAGAAAATGTCTAGAAACACCGCTATAAAAAGCTATGAGCCTCACAAAAAATTGATAGAAAACCTGCCGTTACAGAAAAGGTTGCCTATTCAGCATTCAAAGCCCTCACATAAGAATTTTCACTCTAAAAATTACCCAAAGTCTCTTAAACTTTTAAGAGGAAGTTTTATCACCACACTTATCACACTTCTTCACTTCGGATATCTACGAGCATCATTTAACAAAATTAAATAATGGACTGTTTCTTTGATACTTTACCTTGCGAAGGAACATTTCGTTGCACTGCTTGGCCGTACTGCGCCAATGGCGATGGCGATAGCGTGAGTTTCCCAGCTTCAGAGTGCCCTGAAGCTCGGCGGCCTCCTCAACGACACGCTTGATGCATTGATAGCGCAACCGATTACACCGATGTATGGGCTGCAGTGCCACCAACCCATGCTCTGGCTCTGACTCGGCCCCCGAACGCACCTGATCCTCGTCATCGTCCACCCAGGCGCTAAGCACACCCTCGACAAAGTTGTACAGCATTTGGATGTTGGCTTTCATGGGCGCCGAACCGGACGGTACTTGCTCTGTCTTGATGAGTTTTCGGTTTTGGCAAACCTCGCGCAGAAGGTTCTCGCCAAAATGGACCGTTTTGTGTCGACGTCGACGCGAATTTAGCGAAGCCGCGGAGGCGGACTTCATCAGCTTTCCATTGGCGCCATGGCCATTAAGGTGATATCCATGGCCATTTAGTGGTTGTGCTGGCAGCGTTCGTAATATTGTCGTTGAGGGCTCCAACCAAGCAGCGGCCAAGCCACCCATTCCTACCGCTGAAGAGGCGGAGTCACCCCGCTGCAGCGTATTGGGCTGAGAGTAGCTACGATAATGGGCACGGGGTGGCGATTCCACAGCCAGACCCACATCGATGGCCGTTGGCTCCAGAGGCGCAGGCTCGATATCATCCAGCGTGGCCGGTGGCTGGGCAAGTGTGGTGCGCAGGCGGTTGAAGTCGGCGGCACAACGAGGCAGTGAGTTGCATTTGGCGGCATTTAAGCATTTGCGATTCTGGCAGCTGATCAGCGGAGCGCACGAACGACACTCATGGCAGATCACAAGGCGTCGCTGCGTAGGGGGCTGGGTCTGCAGTGGTGCGGGCGGCGGCGGTGGCGGCGGCGTTGCCGTCGTTGAGGGCGTTGTGTCGGATGTGGCGATATGGGCTGGTACGGCATGCATTTGCACCTGAGCTAGCTGTTGATGACGCGCTAGATTAACCGAAGATGCGGACGAGGTCACACACCGATTGGCAGCCTGGCACTCGAGGAAACGGCAGTGGGGATCCGTGCAAATGGGCAGCAGCGGACAAGTGGGATCGGTGCAAGGCGAGGGCGAGCGCGGCGCACGCTCTGCCGACGAGGACTTACGCTTCTGGCCACCATCACGATGACCGGACATGTCCGACACGGTGGCCGAACGTTGTGTCTGATGGCGCCGCGAGCGTTCGCGTTTTGATTTCGACTCTTTGGGCGGCAACTGAGGGGGCTGCTGGGAATCCTTCACCTTGGGCACATACTGATAGCGCTCCTTGTGTGGCTTTGCGTATAGACGTTCCAGTTGAGCGCTGCTCACGGCAGATGTGCCTGGTGTGCTCGCAACCACTTCGCTGGCCGAGTGCCGTAGCTTTCGTTCCCGCGAACGCTCCTCACGCCGACGCTCTAAGCACACCTGGGTGTGTGTTGTGGGCTGCGGAACCGCATAGCCTTGCGCTGCCGCTACTGCAGCGCGCCTATCCAGTGTTTGGGTTTGTGTCTGTGGCACCGCAGGCGGTGGTTTGCCCAGGGACTGAAGTTTGTGCAGCGGATAGGCAATCCAGTCGGCAATTTGCTCTTCGCTGCCGTGTGTGTGGCCCAGCGAGTGACGTTTGCGTGTGGCTTGTTGCTTGGCAGCGGCTGCATCCTCTTGCGAATTGGAACGCGGCGCATCCCCACCACTGCCATTGCGACGGTGGTGAGAACGTCGCGGCTTACCTTCCTTGGAAGAAGCGGAGGTTTGCATTTTGGTCAGCCACTCCACAATGTCGGTCTTGAGCAGCGAGAACTCGCAGGGGCCAGAGCTCTGACGTGATAATGGTTTCTTGAGCAGCTCTGAAAGCTCTTCCTTGAGTGCCTTGGCGTAGGAGGAACTGCTAGGCTTTGAATCCGACAGCTGGCGTTCACCCAAGGAGCGTTTGCGTGGCAAATGCTCGAGTAGCCACTCGGGCAGCTCATCCTTGAGCACGGTTATTTCGCTGGGACCGGAGGAGGTGCGTGCTGGAGCTGGCTGGGCACCCTTTTGCAGCTTCAGCCACTCCATGGTCTCGTCGCGCACAGCACCACCCTCGGCGGAGCGTGCGGAGTGACGTTGTTGTGCCTTGCGATCGAACCACTCCAGCTGATCTCCTGCTGCTGTTGACCGCAGCGCACTCTTGGGCATGGCCACCTCTTCGGCGCTCTTCTGTCTGCGCGGTGGCAGCTGTGGTCGCTGCTCCGATGGCTGCTCTGGCGGCAGCCGCACATGATGGCCTTCGACAAGCCGCACCGAGCCTTTGCGACGTATGCACTTTTGTTCAATGGTGTCCTCATCACGGGCACGTACACGCCTCGTAATTTCGAAGATATCCCCATTGATTTGATGATAGAACTTCTCCACCTCAACGCCTCGATCGAATTCCTCCTTGACGCTGGGCTTGGCACTTGGCTTCGCCCGCGAGGGAGGCCGCGGTGGAGGTTCTGTGCCTCCTCCATCTTTCTCATCATCTCCATCACCATCGGATCCGGCAGCGCCTAGTAGGGCGCCTCCACCACCTCCGTCTACCACCCAACTTATGGAACGTTCCGCCGTAATGCCTTGCGTGGATTTATCTGTGGCCATGCCACGGTGCTGCTGCTGTTGTTGTACGGCTTGGTGTTGTTGCTGCTGCTGCTGCTGGAGCAGACGGTCCAAAGATCCGTGGTGTGTCTTAATCGTGGGCCCCAGTGGACCCTCGCCAAGAGATTGAAGTCGACACTGGGCATTGCAAATGCAGACGCCACGCTTTTTGCTGCCAAAGCGAAACAGCTGACTGGCCAACTGCGAGACGGAGACACCGTCGCCCCCACCCCCTCCGGCGCCGCCAGCGCCGCCAGCGCTACCATCCCTTCCCGAGGCCGTTGTTGCCGATGTCAAGCGTCCGGCGTGCGTGACGGGTGTGATGTCGACAATCACGCAACAGCAATGCAACGAGAAGGTCTTTTTAGGATCGACGCTGCCGCTGCCGTCGGCGCCGCTGCCACTGGCGCCGCTGACCGAGTTGTTGTTGTCGCTGTGTTCGCTGTGTTGTGAGGCGGCCAGAATGAGCGCGACTGGCGCGAGCGGCGCTGCTGGCGCTTGGACGCGTGCGAGCTACAACAGCAACAACTGCGGCCGGTGCTGTGAAGAAGAAATGGGATGCGAGGAGCAATTGCAATAAAGGGACAGGCAATTATCTTGGTTATCTTGATTGTGTCACTTGTGGCAATGGCTGTGGGGGTGGTGGGGGCTGCAAGGGGTTCTATGTAGTTGTAATTGAGGGACGCAAATCGTTTGGTTACAGACGCTGTGACGGCGCTGACGGTGATGCTGGTGTGGGCGCGGGCGCTGGTGTTCGTGTTGTTGTTTTTGTTTTTGATGCTGGAGAGCAGTTGAACGTTTCCCTCTTGTTGTTGTTCCTTTTGTTGTATTTGTCGTTGTATGGCTTGCGTTGTTTCGTTTGCTACCTTGTTTAGTTTTCTGTGTGTTGTAATTACTGTTCTTGTTATTGTTATTCTTGAAGTTGTTCTTGTTGTTCTTGTTGTTGTTGTTGTCGTTGTGCTCGTCTCAATTGACGCTGCCATGCAGTTCTCCTTGTAACTCTAACTGATTGCTGTTGTTGTTGTTGTTGCTGCTGTTGGTCTTGTTTTCTTTTCGTTTTGTATTTTATTTCATTTATTTATAGGCACTCGCTCCGTCTGTCTATCTGTCTGTTTGTCTCCATTGTCACATAGAACTGCACAAACACACACGCGCACACTTAAATATGTGCATGCGTAATTATGCAATTCATTTATTTATGCACTTGTGTTTTATTTATTTATTATCATTTGATTAATTAAACTAAAAGCTCATTTGGTGCAGTCATTTATAATCTCGAGTTTTGCTGCTAAATGTGTGTTGGCTATTATTATAACTGCTGCCGGCTTGCGTGTTTGTGTTGTTATTATTATTATTATTATTATGGTTGTTGTTGTTGTTGTTACAGCTTCTCTGATTTATCACACACACGCAAACGCACTCATACGAGCACAAGGGACGCCACACATTTATCTATAATTAATTATTACTTGTTGCAAAAATTCAACTTAATTCGCCTATCTGTCTGTTTGTCTGTCTCCCCCCACCTCTTCTATATACATACTTGTACATATATTATGCCTATATCTGGCATATATTTACTATTTATTTAATTATATTTGCTCTATTAATAAAATGGCCGTTGTTGTTGCTACTGCTGCTGCTACTGTTTCGGCTCTTGTTATTTTTATCATGCATTTTGTTTGTTGTTGGCTCTTTGCTACTGCTTTTGTTGTTGTTGCTACAAACGCTTTTGTTTTTGTTATTTTTGCCATCTCTGTTGTTGGTACTTTTATAAAAGGTTGTCGCTGTTATGGGTCTTGCTTACTTAATTGTTATTAAACGATTTAATTTATGCGACGCATCAAATTCTTTTTATTTAATTTACAAATTTAAAGCAAAGGTTGTTGAAAATGCAGCGCGATTGCTTAAAAAAAATGCTTGCATATATGTAATATAGCATAAAAAAAGAGGGACTGGTGTTTTTATGCTATTACTAACTAAAAATATTTAAATCTGCAGCATCAGCACTACTGCACAGGAGGCTGTTTACGTAGAGTCTACCCCAAGGACCTGCCCTCTAGAGGACATACATACTCTGTTAGTTAGTAGTTTATAAATGAATTACAAATATATACTAAGTAACTTTTTATGATGCCCAACAACTGATAAGTATATGAATTAATTAATTTAAATGGCAATAGCATGTTTAAATACAACTATATTCATTTTTCTGTGTCGTGTGTGCCACCCATGAAGCGATTTAGGCCTAATACAACTGTCATAAATGCCATTGTGAGGAGACACTTTTGGGTTTCTTTTCATTTTAACAAACTGATAAATACGAAATGCACAAATTCCCTGAGCGGCAGTTGCTCATTGCTATTGACAAGTCTCTAAGGACAGTGCGTCCTTGCAATTAATTTAAGTTGCTTGCTCTCTATATTTTTAATAAGAGCTTGTAAACGGACCGAATGATGCGCCAATTTGTTTGATTGACAGGCAAGCAAATTGTATTTTTGCTAAAAAAAAATATGTTGAAAAATATTTAGGGAGCAAATACTTCGCCAATAAAATATATTGTACAACGATTTGGGCGTCTCCAGTGTTTTGTCACTGATTGAATGTGTGATTGATTGACAGCTGCTGCTGCTGCAATTGAATGCATTTTTATTTAGTTGGCCAGCATACATATATGCAGGCTTGCAGGGAATATCAGTATAAATTGCGCAAAATGTCATATAACATTGGCTATACCAATTTGAAAGCCACACACAAACTGACAGACAAACTGACTGAGTGACTGACTGGCTGACTGACAACCTTCAAGTTTTGTATTTCATTTGCATTGCGCCGTCGCCTTTGTGTTTCGTTTCGTTTCATTTTTTTTCCGCTTTTGTTGTTGTTTATAGTTTTCTATTTTTTATTTTTGCTGCTGATGCTACTGCTACTGTTTTAATGGCACAAGGACACAAAGACTGGTCGTCAGAGTATTTGACTATAAGCCGCTGTGTCTGTGTGCCGTCGACTGTAAGTCAGTGTACTAGTGTGTTAGTGTGTGTGTCTGGGTATAGGCGTTTTCTCTTTAATTAACATACAAAACTGCAATTTGTTGTTGTTGCTGCTGCTGTGTAACTGTTACTGGCCGAAGTAGCTGAGCAAAAATGATTTTTAAATTTTTCTGGCAGTTTTTTGTGCCGCCTCTTTCGCCAGCTCTAGTATTATTTTAAAGTTTTTCCCCCACTTGCTAGGCAAAAGTTTTTTGACTCGTGCGCAAATATTTTGTTTGTTATATTGCCAGCATAAATTTTCTGGCTATCTACACACGTTCACACACACACACACACATATATATATATATTTATTATATATAGTATATATGCGCGTGCTTACACGTACAGACGGAGAGACGGACCGAACCAACAGACATATGCATATATTTATAAGCGCATACATAAATACTTTCGGGTGGCAGAAAATGCATAAATTTCATGTCTTATGTGCATACACACATACATAAGTACACATACTTAGATAGCGATATAGTGTGTGTGTGTGTGTGTGTAAGCTATATGCATATGCCGTTCGAGTCGTGTCCAAGTTCTGCGCCCTGCTAGCTGCTGTTTGTGTTTATGCAAAGTACAACAACTGCAAAAAGTTTTTCGGTGCTCTGCCAAAGTTTGCTTGTTAAGTGAAAGGATTATATGATCCAGTGTTTTCGCAGCAGTGTGGAAACTTAAAAAAAAAAAACAACAAACTTTTCCTATTTTTATGTTATGCCAGTTTGTTGTGTTGCTGCGACTTCCTCATCGCGCTGATGTTGGACGCAGGGGCGGCAAAAACAGAAATAGCAACAGCAACTAGAAAAATCTTGGTCGAAACTTCTTCCCAAAACTTTAGTTGCGCTGATAGTTTTTATAGCCTACTTTTAGGTGGTTATTGTGAAGTGCGCCTCTTCGCCAGAGAGTTGAATTAGTGTGTGTCTTAGTCGAAGAGTCGTTGTTGTTACTTTAGTTATTGTTGGGGGAAAAACTTTTGCATGCTTTCTTTTCACCCGCTTAGATGATGCCAAGTCGATAAGACTTGGAGCATTTGGAGCTATGGCATGTGATTGTCTTTAGTTGCTAAGTCGACTCTCTACGATTATGTATGTGTGAGCGTAAAGGTATAGGAGTATCCTTCTTCTATGCTACTGGCAAGTTCAACTAGTTGGCATTAGGGTGTACCCTGAGCCCACTTAAAAAGGTGCTTGGGAGCATTTGTTTAGCGATTTTCTCTTGATTTGGCAATAAAGTTAATTTCTATGGAAAGTTTTTTGCGTTAAATGACATTTTTATGTGTGCGTCTGTTTTTATGCGTGTGGGTGCGTAGGAGGACGAGTCGGTGGTACAATAAATTTCGATTGTTTGCAAAGTTTTGTAGATTTGGCACGTATGTAACTTAAAATTTGCTTAGCGGCACTTTACCCAAACAGTAGTTGCTAATCAAGGCATTTTATGGGCCAGATAGTCGTACAAAATTGAAAAGGGTGAAAACTGAAAGTTGTTGCCAATAAAGACGCTTTTTGGTTGGGTAATTGTTGCTCAAAGTGGGTCCATTCGCAGTCGTAAAACGAGCGGAAAACTTTTGTTTGTTGGCATGGAAAGCTAAGAATATGTTTTAGTAGTTATGGTAACTCAATGGTAGCCCACAGGCATTCAAGTTTTCCAACTAATTATGGCCTAAACTTAATCAAGTGGCGAAGGTTGTTTTATCTGCAAGCTCGTATTAGAGCTCTGCATGCTTGCCATCGCACTAAATTGCAAAAACTTTTCTAAACATCATACGAATCATAACATTTTACTTATTGAACTGGCCATTGATATTGTCAAGAATTGTTGTACTTGTATTGGCTTTGTATAACTTGTATAACTTAGAAAGAAGATATTAATTGATTCTGAATTTCTCTGCTTTGTACTCTGCTTTCAGTAAAGGACTGGAATCTGTTTTTGATTAAAAGTATTCTTAATATCATTATAAATCTTTTAAAATAGTTGAAATTTATTTAGTTTTAATAGTTTCAATAGCTACTGGTTAATTGAACAGTATATAAATATTTTCATTATTTTTTTTAATCTAAATATTTTATAGAAAACTAATCAGAATGGTGAAATATGTTATTGTTAACTTGTATTTATTTATTTCGATTTGTTGGCAATCTACACTACATTTTTCAAACATGATTTTGCTTTTTATG